TCTATGGCTCTGAAACATGGCCAATACGCGTTGAAGACATGAAAAGGTTGACTGCTTTCGATCATAGATGTCTGCGATCTCTGTCTCACGTTAGGTGGTTTCACAAGATAAGTAATGTTGACGTTAGGCGTAGAGTGTTGGGCAAAGAGGGAAAATCAATCGACGAGGCTATAAAGTTACATAGACTAAGATGGCTAGGTCACGTGCTGCGCATGCCTAACCACCGCCTCCCCCGACGGGCATTGCTAGCTGATATAGGTTCAGGTTGGAAAAGAGCCAGTGGTGGCCAAACAAAAACATGGCATCAATCCATGAAATCCTTGACAGTTAAACTGAGTCAGGTAGGGAGATGCAGACTCCCGGGTTGGGGCCCTCGGGACTCTAGGAATCAATGGCTGGAGACAATAGGTGACATGGCTCAAAATCGTTGTCAATGGCGCAGATGTATTCAGTCTCTGTAATCTTTCATATTCCTTTCTACCATTACCCATTCTGTTTCACTCTTATATTTGTCAAACTCTATTGATTCTCTTCACTCATCTTCTTGTCTACCTCTGTGTGCTATTTGGAACGTGGCAACTCGAACTGCTGCACTTCGGTGCCAAGTTCTATGTTGAATCCAGACAGACATACGTGAAGATTGGTTGAAGTAATATGAATGTATGTAAGATGACTGTATATTGTCTTGTTGTCGGGATCATTTGTTCATTGGCATGATCATGTATTTTCCAGGTGTTAGTGTGTATACATTTTAAATCTACTTTTTTTTAAAACTTCAGTTTAAATAATCTAGGGGTGCTGATTAATTAGCTGAAGTGATATGGCTTATTCACCTTAACATTTGAACAACACATGTAAGCGAACAATATAATGTTTTAAATGATATCTCATCAGGGGCTTTGCTCTAATATACAATTAAATATAAACCAGTCACGATGACCTGTTGATAGAATGATAAAATTGTGGCTATAAAGGGTTCAGTAATAATAATAATAATAATAATAATAATAATAATATAATAATGCGGTAAACGTTTGAACGTAGTTAATAACGATGATTATAATGATAACAAAATATTGATAATAAGGTTTATGCAGGTGGCAATAAGAATAATAAAGGTAGTAATATGTATATATATAGACAATTCAATAAATAAATTAGGTCAAATTTTAAAAATTTACGTAATACTAAAGGTGAAGTGGACAGATAATCAGAGTCTAAATAAATATCATAAAATACGAAGGAGATGGAAAATAAGAAAGGGTGGGAGGGTTTTGAATGAAATTCACCTAGGTCAAGGGAGAGACAAAGGTAAAGCAAACTTCTTTTGTTGTTTGCAAAGACTAGGATTGTTCTCTCGAATTAATTCCCAATTGCTTCGGCCATGTGTAAAAGACGGATTCGAATTCCGTTCGAAAGGCTCGATGGAATGCGATAGATAACTTTGAAGGCACTATTTTTGTCCACTTGGTGACCGCTATCAATCAAATGAGCCGAAATAGAACTTCGTATGGATTTTATTTGACCTTTTCCAATGCTCATTAATGCGTTCGTTAAGCTGTCTGGTTGTTCGGCGTATGTAGCTTTCTCCATAGGAGCAACTAAATTTATAGATACACATGGAAGTGGCACCGCTAGGTAGCTTGTCTTTCACTTGAGCAATCATAATTGGTCGGCAGCTGAAAAATGACAAACAGAGCGTTGCGGCAGTATAAGTCCGTTTTATCGCTCTTGATAATCTCAGATGTATTATTTTTATATATAAATCTGTGTTAATTAGCGTAAAGCCTGATGAAGATCTAATTGAAAACAATATTGTTCGTTTATATGTCTTGTTCTAATATTTTTTTTAAATAATAATAATAATCGCAATAATGTTATCAGTAACAAAGATGAAAAATTGGAGCGATTTTCGATAACAAGAAGAATAATGAAAAACAGTATGATTAAACACACAAATATTCAGATGGAGGTTATCAACAAAGGCTCGAAAACACACACACACACACAAACAAATGGTCCGATTATGTTGGAATAAGACTGAGTTAGTGGAGTTGATAAGAAAGATAAGATTAAGAATTTTACATAAAAGGTGGTGGTAGCAATATCATCAGTGTGTTAAATCTTAATTGGCCAAGGGGGAAAGAGATATCAAATACTTGTACGAACTTGTGAATGAATAGTCCTATATTGCCTATCATCGACTCAGCCATATATGCAATAAGAACACAATATTCATCGAAGAGACTCTTTTCAACAACGAATTTATTATCAAGCTATACACTCGTATGTATATGGTTTTCTTTTTAAGAAATTATATCCGGTGAGGGAATTAGGTCACAGGTGTGAATACATGCGATAATGATAATAATAGTAGTATGAAATACAATTAAAATATTTGTGATTATAATCATAGTTCAGTGTCAAGTGGCAAAATAATTAATGTCATATATATAGTATAATACATAAGGTGTATAGATTTTGGAAGGAGGTATATAATTATAAGATTAATAGATGAATATAAAATGTTACCAAACATGGTGTGAAATTTGATAAGATAGAATTCAATATTATAAAAGTGAAAAGTATACAAATTAATAATTTTGGGTTTAATATGTCAAGTGAAAAAGATTCAGAGTGAGAATAGTGATAATAATAATAATCGAAGTAATCAGGGAAAAGTACATAGAATAACTAAATAAACAAAATAAATAAATGTCTATCCGTCTATGGCCTAGACAGAAGTAGGGATTGTACATACTTCTTTTGTACACAAAGGTCTGGCTTAAATTCATGAATTGCCAAGGCCTCCACTGTCCTTAGAAGTTTGTAACGAAGAAAACACGGGATTCTATATATGATCTTGAAATCATGGTCAGGGTTGATCGAGTGACAGAAGTTGATCAGGTGTTCTAGAATAGAGCTTCTCACACACTTCCTTTCTCCCTTGTAAAACCATGCAGCTGGAATATGTTCTCGTATCCATGTGGAAAGCGTCCTCTGACTACGGCCAATGTACCTTGCTCCACAAGAGCAGGTGCACATGGAGGCGGCCAGATGGGGGAGCTTATCTTTTACAGAGGTAGAGAACGATTTGCTGCTCGTGAATGTTATATGCAGTTCTGCTGCGAAGAACATGTTACTGACTGATTTAGAGAGACGATTTTTGAGCATATCTGAAGCTTGATCACCTTTGAATTCCCAGTTCATGAATAAGGTTTTCTTTGGAACTGAGTCGGTGACCATTTTAGACTGCTTATCTTTTATGTTGCCGTCAATAAATCGGTTAGTGTAACCATTTTCTGCGAGTGTGGCTTTTAAGAAATCAAGTTCTGAGTCAACGCAATCAGAACTACAAATTTTCCTTATCCTAAAGCAGAGTGAATGAATAAAAAATATATGCAATAGACGACTGAAGTAGTTCATTGGAAAGATTCAATGGGGTTGGGATGAGTTGAATCACCTTGAATGCTTTGTCTTTTTGATTCCGACTAAATGATCACTAACATTTGACTTTTAGCCAGAGGATTATAGATTCAAATCCCACACTCCATCTACTATAGACTGGGTGGTGACTGAGTAGTATAATCCAGTCTTCAAAACAATATACAGCGTAGTAGTGCCTAGCCTGATTGCCTGAGATTATATATATATATATCTGATAATTTAGATCTACTCGGCTAACTACTACGTTTAACTTATTCACTAACTGATTGATTGACTGGTATCAACAAAGAACCATTCACAAATGTGCAGCAGAGTTTTAGTTGCTACTCTCCTCCTCCATGTAGCACACAAAGCAAGAGGAGAGAGAGTAACGGCAGACTCAAAAGACAGACATAATAAACAGAAGTGTGAGGCAAAAAGAACAGTGATATAGAAGTCGAAGAAAAGTAGGGTTCAATCGGATATGATAAATCTAAAAGACTGAATACATCTACGACAGTCATTGAAAAAGATTTTGAGCTATATCACACCAATTGTCTCCAGCCACTGGGTTTCACCATCCCGAGGATCCCAACCAACCAATCAGGAAGTCTACTCCTCCCTAAATGGCTGACTGGGTGTTTAAACTAACTGTTATGGATTTGATTGACTAATGAAGCCATGTTTTAGTCTGACCACTATAGCTATTTTCCAACCTGATCTATTCTGTGTCAGTTCACGTCGCCCATGAAGGAAGGCCATGACCAGGTTAGTCATGCGTAACGCATGTCCCCTAACCATCTCAATCGATGTAGCTCTACAATCGCATCGACTGACTTTCCATTCCTGTCTAACACTGTACGTCTAGCCTCAATTTTGCTCACCCCATATTATGCCACATAACACCGGAGGTAGAATATAGACTCCTATGATCAAAGACAACTAGCCTGCCTTTTCATGTCTTCCATATTCAATGGCTTTGTCTCATAGTCAGCCATAAAGGAGAACGAAGTGAACTGCTGAGCAGTTTAGACACTTCCTTCGGCCGACATTCGCATATGACGTCGTCTACTAAGCCATACATGGCTCAATTTGGCATGTGCCAAAGAAGCCGTCTGTATCGGTGCTGAGATTCAATCAGAGATCAACGAGCTAGAAAACTGTCTGATGCAACTTCCCAAATAAGTGAAGTGGTCAACACACACCACCAACCACTTCACTCTCAATCTTTGAGCTAGGAGTCAATATAGTCCAGTCTTGTAGCATCACCTTACTTGAATTTGACAGGAATGAATGGCATGCCAGACATTCGCAGATTGCGGCCTGTCAAGGTGTTGAGAGGACTCTGGTCTATTCTGTCAGTGTCTTCAGTGTCATAAGGAATATATCGTGTGCATATTTTATGTCAACTGTATTATTCCCTGGTATCATCCCAGCACTGATACTTCATGGAAATGCGTTATTCATTTACACGTGTAAATGTCTCCAGTTGCACAATATATAGTGTGATTCAATTTTTTCAGTTACTTTAACTATATCTATTTTTTCACTTCACTTTTTTCTCTTTTCCACAGTCTGATGATTGTCTTAACCTATGTAATAAAAGCCTGTCGATTCATCAACGTAATCAAACACTGAAACGTGTCAATCCCAATGAAGGTGTAGTAGTCCGTAAACGTCGAAGTGCTATACCTGTTTCACCAAAAATTGCTTTAAATTTATGGGGTATTATTAAAAATGCTATTGGTAAAGATTTGACAAAAATTCCTATTCCGGTAAGTTGAAGTTATCCAATCTATAATGTGATAATACTTTTAATCTTTTGTTAATTAAATATAATTATTATTGTATCTTTTAGTTCCTAGAGGAACATAGGGCTTCAGCTGTGCACCTCCATTGCCTTCGGTTTTCTGCCAACTTTTTCATCCCGCTCCAGGTCTGTCCACATGCTTTCATCTCCTCCTCGCATGACCTCCTCCAAGTCACCCTCCCACCGACGACTAACTTGCCGCTTACCTTTCGGGTTCCACTCGAGCGATGGCTTGTCTAGTGATGTCACTAGATGGTTTGTTTTCTCAGAGTATGGCCAGCCAATTCATCTCCATTTCTTCCTGCCTATTTGTTGCACAATCGGTTCCTGGTTGGTTCGCTTCCAGAGGTCCCTCCCTAGTGCTGATCGTTTATGGCCAGCCAGCTGATATTGAGTATTGAGCGAAGACAACTGTTGATGAAGGTCTGAAGTTTGTTTGAGATGCTCTTTATGACTCGCTGGCCAAGTTTCTGATCCGTATAGTAAGTAGCACTGACTGACTTCACATTGGAGTTGAAAATCCGGATGTTATTTTTGATGCTGAGTGCTGTTGGCCTCCTGCACACAGACTTGAAAGTAATGAAAGCTTGTCTTGCTTTTCCGATTCTGGCTTTGATATCCTCGTCAGTTCCGTCCGCCTGTAGTTGAAACGATGCTTCTCGGATAGGTGGGTAGGTGAAGGAGGTTGTTTCTTTCAGGTTTCTCCAATTTATTCTGATTGTTGTCTGTAGTTGTTGTCGCTGTTGATGTTGGCCAGGAATCTTCATCACCTCTGTTTTATCTATGTTCACCTGAAATGAAGTCCTCTCTTTGATGCCTCTTCTGCCAACTTGTTGCTTTTCACTTGCATATCTTCCAGTTTGTGGGAAATCAGACATATATCATCGGAGAAATCCAGATCCTCCAAGTCTTTTGTGTGAGTCTATTTTATGCCTGTTCCCTCGTTGGTTTCCGTTGTCTGTCGCACTATCCAATCTACTGCAATCAGGAAGATCATTGGTGATAGTAGGCAGCCTTGTTGCACTCCCATCCTCACTTCGAAGGCTTCCGTAAGTTTCCCGTTGTGGATTACTTGGCATGCAGTATTGTCGCATAACTGTTGGATGAGATGTATAATTGTTGATGGCACCCTTTGGTAGTAGCAAAGTAGTTGCCAAATCACCTCTCGATCGACGCTGTCGAAGGCCTTTTCAAAGTCAATGAAGTGGAGATAGAGAGGTGACTGCCATTCCAAGCTTTGTTCAATGATGATCCGTAGAGTGGTGATTTGATCAATACATGATTTTTTTCTCCTGAATCCGGCCTGTTCCGGTCGAAGTTTTTCATCTAGGGCTTGTTTGATTCTCTCCAGGATGATGCGGCTTAGTATTTTGCTCGGCTTTTTCCCTTATGTTTGCAATGAAGATGTCCTTTGTAGCCTGGTCCCTCAGTTTTTGAGTGTTGAACTCGGCTTGTGGTCTATCTGCAGCTCCTGTTTCCCTGAAAGCCTTTAATTTGATTTTGATTGTTCCTTGTACGAGATAGTGGTCTGAGCCAACGTCTGCTCTTCTCCCGCTTGCTTTTGTGTCCAGTAGGCTGCGCCTCCACTTTCTTGAGCAGTATTGAGATGAAGTCAATTTGGTTTTTGGTTTGCCCGTCTGGTGACACCCGTGTAGCCTTGTGGATATCTTTGTGCTTGTATACACTGCCACCAGTCACTAGTTCGTTGAAGGCGCAGAATTAATAATAAAATAATGCGTTAATTGTCTTGTTTGTTTTTGGAGATTGTCTGGTTTATTTACAGTATCTCATTCACCCTTAAATGACTTTTCTACGAAGGCATTATATCTGAGGTTATTTGGAATTTTTACCTTCGTCTTAAAATGCCGTTGTATAGTCAATGTGTTCTTAGATTTAGCTAGTTAAGTCGTATTCTCTGCCTTGATGCAGCATAGGATGTTCTCATTAGAGGCGAAGTTGGTGAATATCTGGTAATTATTACTGAAGTGGTGGTGGACATGGATCTGCTTCCTGGAGAAAGATTTTTCAACCTCAAGTATGCAGACAGTATCGTCTTACTGCTGAGTTGAGTTTTGAACTTTGTTAACTATGGGAACACAGCTCTTGAGGGCCATTCACCTGTCTTGTGGATCGGATTTCATGTGAGAGGTTCCGGGTTTAATGGAGCCTCAACATAGTAGCCACCTTTACTACTTCAGACGTTCAGGTGGTATCTCATCCTTCGCGCAAATATGTGGCTCGTGCCCATATTAAATGATCTTTGTAATTAAACTATTAAATAAACTTCTAAGTAGCCAAAAAGACGTAAATAAGTAAATGGATTTACTTTGGTTGGTTCTTGTTTTGTTTGTGCCCGTAGTGTCTTGTTGGTAATTCTTTCCCGCCCGGCCATTTCATCTTCAGTATAGATCCAGCGAAGACAGTTGTTGATAAAGGTAGGTCTGCAATAGCCTGTTGGAAATATTCTTTGTGACTCGCCTACCAAGTTTCTGATCCGTATGGAAGAATTGACTGACTTTACGTTTGTATTGAAAATTCGACTAAATTTTGTTGTTGATGGTGATTGACGAAGATTTCTAGATTGGTTTCAGGTTGATGAATGTGTGTGTTTCTCGCCTTCCCGATTCTCGCTCGATTTGACATCCTCATCCGTTCCGACTACCTGCAGTTGAGACAATGCTCCCTAGATATGTGAATGAAGTAACCTCTTTCGGATCCCTCCCGTTGATGGTGATTGGCGCTGGATGTTGGTGCTGTTGTTTGGTTGGTTGATTGGTTATTTTCTTAACCTCCGTCTTTTCTATGTTCACCTGGAGTCCTTTCTTCGCCGGCTGCTTCTTCGACCAGTTTGTCAGTCCGTCGGTTTTCGCTTGTAAGTCTTCGATTTTGTCTGATATCAAACATAAATCATCCACGTGCGAAATCCAGGTCTTCTAGGATGTTCACATCGGTGATAATAAGCGCTGTTATCTGACTGACTACTGTCTTTACTCCGAACGCCTCGCTAAGTTTTCCGTTGTGGATCACTTGACATGTGCCGTTGTCGTACAGTTATTGAATAAGGTTTATGAATATTTGGGCGCTGCACTCCGTAGTACTAGAGTAGTTTTCAAATTACTACTCTGTCAAATTGTGTCGAAGGCCTTCTCAAAATCTGTAAAGTTGAGCTAGAGGTTTGATTGCCATTCCATGCTTTGTTCTGTGATGATGATGCGCAGAGTTGCAATTTGGTCAGAATATGATTTGCCTTTCCTGAATCCAGCTTGTTCTGGTCGGAATTCTGTATTCAGTATGTCCTTAGTCTCTACAGGATGATGCGACTCTGGATTTTACTTCCCGTCGACAGGACCATGATTTCTCGCCAGTTCTTGATGAGTTCTAAGTCACCCTTCTTTGGTAGTTTCACGAGGTAACCTTTCCTCCAGTCAGTAGGCACCTTTTCCTCTTTCCAGAACTTTTGCAATAGTGGAGTCAGCATGCCTGCCGTAGTCTCTGGGTCCGCTTTCAGTGCTTCAGAGGGTTTACCATCCGGTCCAGCTGCTTTTCCAGCTTTCAGAAGCTTGATTGCATTCAAGACTTCAGCTTTCGTTGGAGGATTGGTGTCAACTTGCAGTCGTGTACGTGCTGTTATTGGCATTTCTGGATGGGTTGTTGTGTACTGGCTGATTATTTGATCGCTAAGACTTAATTAGACTTCTGCTTAGTATTAACCTCATCGATTGCAATGGTTTATAATGTGTCCCAGGTGTTTAGAGAAGCCGCCTCTGAGTTCATACTGGAATGCAGAACAACCACTTATCAATGTGTGTGCATATATTACATCATTCTTGTTACAGTTAATAAAAGTATTATTGTTGTACAAAACATGACCTGGATAATTTATGTATCAACAGTCGAAAATTATAAACCTTCAGGTAATTGAAATATTTTTCCGGGGAGGGGGGGAGGGTAGTCTGTCTGAAATATAAGGAGCATTAGTGTTGTGTGACCGCTGTGACTTCTCGGAGGATAACTGCTTGTGGTCGGTTCAACATAGCCTGTTTCAGGTGGTTTTTGTATTTGTTTCTGTACGAAGATCTTACCACCGGCTACAGATCGCGGCATAATAATTTGGGATCTACAACTATTGTGTGATCTACCTTTTCTGACTGCCTATCTCTCCAGAACGGAGAGACAGCACGTTGTTCATCTATGTTCATCAACATCTTACTGCCGTTACGTCTCTATTCGCTATCATCACAACTTTACCATCCAACATAGTGTAAAGGCAATCAATTCCATCCAGTATATCTCTCGTTGGGTCATTGCAACCACTATGTAAAGGTAGCAGTTATCAGTCGGGTCTAGCTGGGATGTGTGTGTGTGTGTGTGATTCAGGAGGTCATTGAATAGCCAATAAATTCCTAACAATACATAAACACCTGATATTTGACCTATACCTCAAATCTATTAGCTGGTTACACATTGATTGTAGTATACATTTAACTTAATCGATTGATCATATGTTGTACTGCCCAATTAATAAATCCATGGATTATGGTTTTGAGCCAACAAGAACTGTACATATAACCTAATTTTACCACTAATAATTCTAATTATTATCATTACTTTTAGGATATCGATTACATTATTTATCTTCATGTAAATTGACCTTACTTTATCAGTTTACAGCAAAACCTGAGGATTTTCCCTCTCCCTTATATTGTTTATTTAATCTGCGTGAGTTTTTGCTAACATGTTAAAAAAAAGATATAGAATATGGACTCTTATCGCTAAGTACTGTAGGATACTTTTTATTGTGTGGAGTGTTGTTGCTCCTTGGCTAAAACACTTGTCTGCCAACCAACCAATCTCCGGTTTGAACCCCTTTCCAGCTCAGTTTCGATCTGGGTAACTTAATAATGCTCACAGCCTGTTCCGGATGTTTGAGCTCTTTAATATTATGCTATTATATGTGTTTATTGGATGTGATCACATTTTTGGAAACTCTATGCATAGACGCTTGAAATATAGTGAAAGGACATTATAACCCATTATACTGACTAATTGGGTGATTTTGTCAAAGGACTTTGCACAGAATTGTAGCAGTTCAACATGGTCACACTGCGGGTAGCCCACAATGGTAGACCATAGAGAGAAAATAAGAGATTCGAAAGAAGTATAATAATAATAATAAACATAAATGTTAGGGATGAAGAATAGAAACACATAAAGACAACAGAGTTTAATAGATATGAGAGGTTTATCTATAGTCTCCCACCATTGGTTCTTAGAATCCCAAGGGCTCCGACCAGGAAGCCTATATCTACCTATGTGGCTCAAACTAACTGTCAAAGACTTCATGGACTGATGGTATGTTTTCTTTTGACCACCCTTTAATGTCAGCTCACATTATCAGTTGAGTAAGGCCGATGGCTAGGCATGTGCAATACTTATCCTAACCATGTCAACTGATGTAGCTTCACCACGGCATTGCCTGACTTCTCCTCCTTCCTTGCCTAACACTCGACACCTTACCTCAATATTATTCAGTAACTCATTACATCCCCCAATACCTCACTGGTTGTTGGGATAAAACAGAGTTCAACACTTTCAAAAAAATTTAATTGAGATTTTCCCGTCGATTGATTGAACTAAAATACTCTCTGTGTGTCTGTTTTCGACATAGAACTTTGCACAAATGTGCGGCAGTTAAAGTCGCCACACTCCCTCCTTGTAGCACACAAAACAAGAGAAGAAAGAAGAAATGCATAATAGAGACAGTAGACAGGGATATGTGACAAAAGAATAGTAATAACGAAGAACAATATAGTTTCATTGGAAATCATAAGTCACAAGGAGTGGATGCATGTGCGCCAGCCATTGAGAACGATCACTTTGAGCCATATCACCATTTGTCTCCAGCCTTCATTGGTTTTTACCGTCCCGAAGACCCAACCAGTGAGGAAGCCTACACCTCCCTACGTGACTGGCTGGGTTAAACTAACTGTTGTGGATTTCATTGACTGGTTAGGCCATGTTTTGGTTTGACCTCCGCTAGCTCTTTTCCAGTCTGACCCTATGTCAGCTAACATTACCTGTTGTCGAGGAAGGCTATAGATGTCTAGACATACGTAACACATGTCCTAACCATCTCAATCAATTCAATTTCACAACCTTGTGGATTGATTTTCCCTCCTTATCTAGCACTCAACGCCTCACTTCAACATTCCTCATCTTATTATATCACTTCACACGGGAGATAGAACGCAGGCACTTATGATAAAAGACAGCTAATCTTTTCATGTCTTCCACTGTCAATGGCCAGGTCTCGCTTACAGCCATAAAGGAGGACGGAGCGTACTGATGAGCAGTACACACAACCTTTGGTCGATAGTCGGATATCTCGTCTACGTCAGAGACGGCGTAAACTGGAATATGCGAAACTAGCCCTCTGTATCCGTACTCAGCTAAGATTTCGTCAGAGATCAACCCGTTGGCGTTAGCTGACGGTACTTCTCAAATAAGTGAAGCGGTCAACGTGCTCTACCACTTCACTCCCTATATATAAACTAGGAGTTGGTGTAGTCCAATCCTGTAACATCATCTTACATTTGGCGGGAACCTCGCCTAGCCTGTGGAGACCTGGTCAGGTTTGGAAGTTCTGCGTCGGAATAGCTAATGAAACTTCAAAACTCGAGCTCAAAGTGTCATGTTCCACTCGGAATGCAAAGGAATAAATAAGGGGAGAGAAAAAACACCCAATGGAATGCTCAGTATGTATACTCTGTATTAAATAATCTTCCCCTCCTTCCGTTTTGTTGAGTCTACTTTCTCTGCATATCTGCATCCCCCCTCACCTCTGTAAATTGTATGCATCCAAACTGCTGCATTTTTTAATGACAGCAATGTTCTGTGTTGCTTGCGAAAATTAAGTTCATCAGTTCATTTCAGTAAGTATTACTGATCGGTGTTTGTGTAAGCCTATTTGTATGTTGTCTAAAGGTGTAATTGTGAACACGATCGACATCATTACATCTTTTAGTTTAATCAAGGCTAAGCCGCCTACCTTGTCTATGCAAGAGAATACCATATATACTGATAGTAAACTTTACCCCCTAGCGCTTGTATGGTAGGGGAAAACAAATGTAATGTGATATTTTGCATAATTCCACTAGATTATAATCAATGATGAATAATAGGTCAAGGTTAGCGCGAAAAGTAAACATTGAAAGCCAGAAGAGGTCACGGTGTTTACCTTATTTTCTTTCATGTAAGTGTACTTTTCTGTCTTGTATTTCAATAGAATTTAATGAAATAAGATATTTTATATCAATCAATACTTTAAATACCGGGGACAGTTCAAAGTGAGAGTAGTAATAGTAATAACTAACGTAATAAGGAAGAGTACACAAATTGAATAGAGAAAATGAAAAAAAAATGAAAAATTCGTAGAGTTAAAATATGATTACGGATTACCATACTTTAGCATAGAGGGATTAAGCCCATGAAAGTTGGAGGGGTTGAACGAACTTTTTCTGTACACAGAGATCTGGCTTTTCTGTTCCGACAGTCAAAGATGGCTTCAGCAATACAGATGAGTCGGGTACGTAGGGATTTGGGTAAATTACTCTTTGCCTTGTAGATGACTTTAAAGGCGGAGGCTATAGAGATAGGGTGATCATTATCGACCAGATGTTCAATGATCACACTTCTTATTACTCCATTTTTACTTATTCGTAACCATGTAGGATAGTGTTTTTTTGCACCCTCTTGGACAAAACTCGAGTCGAACGACTGATATACCTAGCTCCACACGAGCAAGCGAATTGATAAACACACATAGAGTTGGTCAACAGCGGAATCTTGTCCTTCAGGTTATTGTTCACTAACCTGAGAAGTGGAGCAATAAGAAGTGTGATCATTGAACATCTGGTCGATAATGATCACCCTATCTCTATTGCCTCCGCCTTTAAAATCATCTACAAGGCAAAGAGTAATTTACCCAAATCCCTACGTACCCGACTCATCTGTATTGCTGAAGCCACCTTGACTATCGAAACAGAAAAGCCAGATCTCTGTGTACAGAAAAAGTTCGTTCAACCCCTCCATGCTAAAGTATGGTAATTCCCAATCATATTTTAGCTCTACGAATTTTTCATTTCATTTCTAACATCAATGTGAAGCCAGTTAGTTCCATCCATACGGGTCAGAAACTTGCAGTGAGCGTCAAGAAAAGAATTTACAACAGATTTACTGACTCTTATCGACAGTCACTTCCTTTGGTCCCATACTGGAGATCGAATGGCCAGCCAGCCAGTTGGAAAGAATTAGCGACGACAAGAAACTCTGGTCGGCTGGTAACAAACCAACAGGCGAGAGCCGATCGCTCGACATATGTGTAGGAGACAAAATGGAAATAGATAGGGCACACGCTGAGGAAACTGCCGGATAACATCGCGCGCCAGAACCACCAATCGAGCGAGATGCTAATGAAAATTGACGAGTTGAGTGTTAGTCCGAGGGTGACATGAAGGAGATTAGAGGTTATGGTAGATCGTGGACGGAGTCTAAGAAGACATCAGAGAATAGAACAAATTTGAGATGTGTTGTGGAATCCCTATGTTCCACTCGGAAAACAAGGAAATAATAATAATATTATAAAAATATGACATGTGTGAGCTTGATGCTTCACTTCGCTACAAGTCTGCATTACATAAGATATCGTGACTGTCGTCAAACAGCCATTCACGCCTTTTTTAGTGTGTTGTATCTCTTCAGATTACTTTTCCATCTCTCCTATTCGCCAAGTTGTAGATTCAAACACCGTATCTAATGACATATACCAACCAATTAACTGGAACGCAATATATAGTTCATATTCGAGCTAGCCAGTCCTCAGTAGTCAGTCGGATTTTTTTTATTAACCATCATTTACATGAATTCTACAATTCGTTTTCTCATATACCTCTCTGGTTATACTTGTTTCATAAATGTTGCTCATTTTTCGAATTCTTTCTTTCTCATTAATATATCATATTCTTATTTACATTTACATTAATATTTCAGGTTAACTTCAATGAACCCTTATCATTCCTTCAGAGAGCTGTTGAAGACTTCACGTATTCCTATCTACTAGATCGTGCTTCACAGACATCGGATCCTGTAGAACAAATAGCATATGTTGCAGCTTTTTCTGTTAGTTGTTACAGTTCAACAGCTTATCGAACTGGTAAACCGTTTAATTCACTACTCGGTGAAACTTATGAATGTGATCGTACTGATGATTTGGGTTGGCGTTGCATTTTAGAACAAGTAAGAGATTCAGGTTTTGTGTGTGTATGCATGTTTGTGTTTCAGTGCATGTAATTATTTTCTAAAGTTTTATCAGTTCCATGTATGTGAATGAAACTATGATGTATCGACGGCCTACGGATAGTATGCTCACTAGCCATGCCCCCCCCGTCAGGTCTGGATTCCTGTCGGTAAGCTCTCATCTCGTCTATGTCACCTTCCGACCTACGTCGAACTCTTCATTTCCCACTCGGATGCCACTCGAGTGACCACCTTGTACATGATGTCACTCAACAGTTTCCTTAGTGTGTCAATCCGATCCATCTTCTGTAGCATATTTCTTGGCTAATAGGTTCTTGACTGGTTCGCTCCCAGAGTTTGTTGTTGCTAGTTCTTTCTGGCCATACCTGTAGCCTTTTTGAAGTGTTCTTTGTAACGTGACAAGTTTCCAACCGATGTATATTATTATTATTTCCTTTAATTCCTAGAGGAACATAGGGCTTCAGCCGCGCGTCTCCATTGCGTTCAGTTCTCTGCTAACGTTTTCACCTGGCTCCAAGTCTGCTCACACGCTTTCATCTCCTCTTCAAGTCACCCTTGCGCTGACGACCAACTCGTCGCTTAATTTTCGAGCTCCACTCGAGTGTTGGCTTGTCTAGTGATGTCACTATATGGTTTGTTTTCTCAGAGTATGGCCAGCCAATTCATCTCCATTTCTTCCTGCCTATTTGTTGCACAATCGGTTCCTGGTTGGTTCGCTTCCAGATGTCCCTCCCTAGTGCTGATCGTTTATGGCCGGCCAGCTGATGTTGAGTATTGAGCAAAGACAGCTGTTAATGAAGGTCTGAAGTTTGTTTGAGATGCTCTTTATGACTCGCTGGCCAAGTTTCTGATCCGTATAGTAAGTAGCACTGACTGACTTCACATTGGAGTTGAAAATCCGGATGTTATTTTTGATGCTGAGTGCTGTTGGCCTCCTGCACACAGACTTGAAAGTAATGAAAGCTTGTCTTGCTTTTCCGATTCTGGCTTTGATATCCTCGTCAGTTCCGTCCGCCTGTAGTTGAAACGATGCTTCTCGGATGGGTGGGTAGGTGAAGGAGGTTGTTTCTTTCAGGTTTCTCCAATTTATGCTGATTGTTGTCTGTAGTTGTTGTTGCTGTTGGTGTTGGCCAGGAACCTTGATCACCTCCGTCGTCTCTATTTCCACTGCAGTTACTGTCTTCGCTGCTTGTCTCTTGTGCCAACTTATTGTTTTTGCCTGTAGATCTCGTTTGTATAAAGTCCACATCCTTCTAATCTTCTTATCGGTTCGACGTATTCCTGTCTTCCCTCACCTCACAGTCTTCCTTTCGTCTAATCCTTCCCACCACAATTAGGAAGGTGATAGTGGGAGGCAGCCTTGTCTCACTCCTGTATTCACTTGACATGTAACATTGTCATATAAAACTATTGAATGAGTTGTTACAGTTGACTGATAGTGACTAACACTGGAATTACTGGACTCGTGTTTTATCCTCTTTCCCCTATTATTTGTCAACTAGATGGATGCACTTGTGTATCCTATTGTGAATTATTCTTTGCCTATTGAGATTTTAACCCCAGTTCTCAGGGTTTTAAACGCTAAGTTGTTTTGATGATATTAAATAGTTGTAGGCAATCGGCCACAGGAAGCCGTGCTTGACCTAGGTTTCGTGCTAGTTGACACTCACCAGTCAGTCAGCCGAGGCATATCTCCAACCTCGAAGGAACAGTTCATGTCCCTTCTGAGATTCGAACCCGCTTCACCCAGGGAGAGCTGTAGTCAGTCAGAGACGTTACCATTGAGCTATTAGGGCTGGCTCGCGATTGACCTCTTGTAGGATTGTAGGGGGTATTTTGAATGAACACTAGTTACTAACTAGTGTGACGTGTCTAGTCCTTTCTTTTGGTGCAAACTGAATTCTATCAGTCAGCTTTATTACTGTGTTTCCTGCTGGTGTATACTTTTTGCAGCTTGAGGAAGAAATAGCGTTGTAGATAAGACAGTCCAATCAAATTCTGTCTTAATATGTTGGTAATAATAATAATAATGATGGACTGAATAAGGTCAAGTTAATTAATTGTAAGGCACTAGTTATTGTTATCTGTGTACTACGCACTAATTCGGTTAATCTTTCGATTAGTCTACTTTCATATCATCCTTTGTTTATGTTTTAATTTGTTTCTTGTTGAGTGTGTGTGCATGTGTGTGCGTTTGGGGGGCATATATTATATTATACTTATTGTTGTATTCGCTGCCAGCCGGAATGGACCGGCGTTCATCCAGGAGTTGCAAGGAACTCATAGAAACCCAGTGGTTTTTTATCGGAGCTTTCTTTCAAGCCGCAAGCGGCACCTTGCAGATGAAGCCAATGTTCATCTATACTATTTGGGGATTGCTGGCAAGCATTGGTTGTAACTTATTCTGGTATTTCAAAGAAGTACCAGGTGTTACTAGTTTGCTAACATCAAAATTTAGACGACGACTTTTATGAACCCCACCAAATCGCAAGACGAACTTGGCACACACTAACGCATGATCGGAGTCCAAGCATGTGCTCCAGAAGGAGCGGCAGTCTTGTATGCGTCCTCGCCACCGAAAACTGACAGCAATATGGTCAATCTGAGTCCAAGCTTGATTCGCAGAGGGTGGACGCCAGGTAGCGCTACGGCAATGGTTGTGCCAGAAGTTAGTGCTGGCTAGAAATAGGTTGTGATCCGTACAAAGCTGCAGAAGACGATCCCCATTATCCGACCTGAGGCCATGTAGGCCCCATTGACCACCTAGACGATTCTCCTCTGAGCTTAGACGCCCAACCTGTGCATTCAAGTCCCCAGCCAGCACTACGATATCCCTCCGAGCCGTCTGTCTAAAGAGATCGCTAAGTTGGTGGTAGAACTCATCCTTCATTGCATCCGGGCTGTAATCCGTCGATGCATAGCCAAAGACAACAAATAGACACCGCCTATCTGGCCTACTACTCCTTACTTTCGTATAACCTTCCAGCCTCACAGCACATAAACAAATGTTAATGGGAATCCAGTCGAGCAATGCAGCTTCGGCTCTAGCGGTCAGTACGACACCGGCATCAGCTACGCCGGATGCTAATGCCACAGGGTCCCAGCACAAGCGCAGGTGGTACATACTACTAGAACTTTCGGATGGAGAGGATAATCGAAGCAATTCACTGAAATCTTGAATGCGGGTCTCCGAAACACAGAAGACATCGATAGCGAGGCTTTCCAATGTTCTTACCAACCATCTTAGTTATGGTCAACATGCTAGGTCTGTCTGTCTGTTTTCGACATAGAACTTTGCACAAATGTGCGGAAGTTCAAGTCGCCACATTCCGTGTAGCACGCGAAGCAAGAGAAGAAAGTACAAGAAAAGCATAATAGAAACAGTGAGCAGAGGTGTGAGACAAAGGAGTAATAAAGAAATACAAAACAGTTTCATTGAAGATCATAAGTCACAGGGAGTGGATGCATCTGCGCCACTGAGAACGATTTTGAGCCATGTCACCAATTGTTTCCAACCATAGATTTTTACCGTCCCGAGGACCCCAGCCTGGAAGTCTACACCTTCCTACGTGGCTTAGACCAACTGTTGTGGATTTCATTGACTGGTTAGGCCATGTTTTGGTTTGACCTCCGCTAGCTTTTTTCCAGCCTGACCCTATATCCGCTAACATTGCTCGTCGAGGGAGGCGATGGCTAGGTGGCTCACTATCACGATCAACTGTGAGTTGTTGCTAAATGGTTCGAGAAAATAGCGAAGAAGCGCAGGCTAGACTTAAGTTTCAGGCTTATTAAAACTTGTCATCAAGACATATCCACAGTCTTCAAGGAACTCAAGTCACCCATTAACGCAGTCGTAGATCTACTATTGAGCTATTCGAGTTTGCGACCAACCTACTCAGTAGGAATATAATGGGTACTTTCTCATTGGACACTAGATAGTAAATAATACCCAAGCAACTAGTGCTTCGTTTGTTGCAGACAGAATTCTATCAGTAATAAAGTCTCTGACTACGACACTAGAAGATCCGGGTTTAAATCTCAAGAGTGAAGTGAGTTCATTTAAGATTGTAGATTATTCCTTGTTGACTGATGAGTGCCAACAAGCTACAAACCGAAGTCGAAGACCTCCTACCATGACTGCCTCCAACCACCTAAGAAAACGATAGTTTCCCCAGAGTTTTTGCTGCCACTATTATAATAAAAATAATAAGAATTATTATTATTATTAGTGTAACAACTCAAAAACCAAGACAAATTTCTGGCGATAGCCAATACACTTGATATGTGAAGACTAATGATACAACCCGCGTCGGTAGCACAGCGGTTAGGGCGCTCGCCAACCATGCACATGGTCCAGGGTTCGATCCCCGGCCACAGACGCACTCCTTTACCTCGCTAGGCCAGAATAATCCTGGTAAAGAGGAAACGTTGGGCACGAGGCTACCAACCCAATTTTTTTCTTTCACGTTCCCCGGTCGAACATAGGACTTCAAGCTAGTGGCTTGAAGTTTCTGTAGCAGTGCTTATTTTACAAAATGGGGTTGCTAGCCACCTCATGACCAACCTTTCCTCTTCACCAGCATTATTCCTGGCTTATCGAGGTAAAGGAGTGCGTCTGTGGCCGGGGATCGAACTCCGGACCATGTGCATGGTTGGCGAGCGCCCTAACCGCTGTGCTACCGACGCGGGTTGTATCATTAGTCTTCACATATCAAGTGTATTGGCTATCGCCAGAAATTTGTCTTGGTTTTTGAGTTGTTACACTAATAATAATAATAATTCTTATTATTTTTATTATAATAGTGGCAGCAAAAACTCTGGGGAAACTATCGTTTTCTTAGGTGGTTGGAGGCAGTCATGGTAGGAGGTCTTCGACTTCGGTTTGTAGCTTGTTGGCACTCATCAGTCAACAAGGAATAATCTACAATCTTAAATGAACTCACTTCACTCTTGAGATTTAAACCCGGATCTTCTAGTGT